CAATATATTGTTATCATAGTTTCTGTGACACAGTAGACCCTTGGGAGAAAGTTTCATACTTCGCTGTCAAGTAAAATGCATTGTGTGGAGTGTTGTGGGTACGCGGAGGGTTCAGGGTGATCATCTTGTGCTTACTCAGTCATTTCTGGGGCTTCTTAACCTGTCGAGTAGATTTAGTTTCTTCTTGGCAAGTACTGGGAGACGCTCCTTGGGATAGGTTCTGTCCTGCTATGTCTCATTCTGTGCTTGATTTCGAGAATGACTATTGTGTATATCTTGAAAATATTATTTTATTTGTGAAGTTCTTGAGTTATATTATTAGACTAACCATAAGTATTAAATCACTTATCTCTCAAAAAAAACATATCTGAGAAATGTTTCTTATAGCATAAACATTCATTAACCCATGAGTTTTTTAAACCCCTACGGTAATATAACGATGGCTTGTAGTTTGTCATAGGGCGTCACACACTGCTCATGTCTTGCTCTGAATAACTGCAGACTTATAGAGTAGTTCATTTTTGCAATAATAATAATGTTACGAGCTGAATTGGCGAAAATCTATACCTCGCCTTGACTGACCAAAGCTCGGTCAGTGCTACTGAGCCTCACTTAAGAAAAGGGGACGTTCAATAAATTTACGACAAATAGATTTGTCTCCTGAAACCTTATAAATGAAGAGATACGTCTCCCCAAGACTAGCATGTAAGATATATCTCTACATAAGCCTCACATATTGGGAACAGAATCCTCCCCATTAGCTTAAACCATGGAGGGCTGGACCATTGTAAGGCTACCACCTGGGGAGGTTTGTCTTAAAACAAACTTAAAGCTCATTAGGAGCTACATTGTTCTAATGCTGTTCATCCCTCGTAAAGAAGATACATCTCATAATCAGAAGATACATCTCATAATTCAGTGTTTGGAATGTCTGTTCCCGGGAACTTAATTCGTAGGGAGGTGCAGTACAGTATACATTCATAATAAACGAAGTAAACAAAGATATTACGTTATTAATGTTGTCTCCTAACCTGTATAAAGTGGGTGAATTTAGATGAAGTTGAGTAGCAGTGTAAATAATGTTATTTTAGGACATTACGTTAAAACCCTTGTCCAAGCTGTCCTTTTTTTATGGGAAATAGCCCACCCGGGCACAGGTCATCAACCCACAACGTGATCTGAAAGGGGGGGGGGGGGATTAGAGTAAAAAGATATTAAAAATAGAAGAGAAAAGGACCAAATTAATATACACCACAAAGATGCCGGAAAACCAGCTTTTTGAAGTGGGACAGATTGTATGAGTATGGAAACAGAAGAAGAGAGAGCATTCCACAGTTTGACTGTGTGAGGAAAGAAGGATGAACTATAACGGGCTATTCTAGTGTGACCGACATGCACACAGAAACGGTGGGCACCGCGGGCAAGACGAGTGTTAGGAACCCACCGGCAAGGCGGTACACGGGATCCTGATACGTCATCTGTACAAACCATGAGGTATTAGAAAAAACTGGGGTCACTAATTTTCGTGTGATCCGAAGATTGATTTAATTAAACCACGAGCCGTGTCAGATATTTATCTTCATGAAATTAAATAAGAAATGATAGCAACAGAAGTTAAGCATAGTTTAATGATAAATAGAAGGAAACAGTGACCTTGTTCTATGTTATACTATGCAACCAGAGATACTCATAGTTGATATGGGTAAAGTGTTTTATTTTGTTATGCTGATCAGAATTGCATGTGTGTGTTTTCACCAACGTAGTCTACGTTCTATCCCCAAAGTTCGCTGGGAAGACGAGAGAACAAATGACTATTCTCTCTGACACCCACTGTAGGAGCATCGAGGCTATCATTATCCATGAACAACTACATTGGACTGGCCATGTTACCCGCATGGACGACAGTAGACTACCAAAGCAGTTACTTTACAGTCACCTAACGAATAGTAAACGTAACGCTGGCGGGCAACTGCAAAGGTATAAGGATAGTTTTAAGACAAACCTGAAAAAGTGCCAAATCGACCCCCTCACCTAAGAGACGATCACTCCACACCGAAATGCTTAGAATGAGCACCACACGAGGTGTCAATACTTTCGAGTTAGCCCGACTGCATACCCAGGCAGACAAGCGCGAATGCCGGAAAGATGTTGCCGCTGCCCCTCCCGCACTAGATGTAGCCCTCCACACATGCAACATCTGTGGACGACCCTGCCGGTCTTGTATCGCCTCTCGATTCACCTCAGAACTCACCAATGAAGGTGATATCTTTATTAACTCATATCATTGTATCATAGTTGGATGATCGTCATACTCGATTCCGAGTGACAGCAAAGTCGTAAAGTAGTGTGTGTGTGTGTGTGTGTGTGTGTGTGTGTGTATGAAGCGAGATTAGCGTTTGCGTAATCAAGGGGGAATATCACCATGGCAACTGCAGATTGATGGGCAGATATGACTGACCGTTGGTGGTTTTGATGATTATGGTTGAGCGACTTGTATTTTTACGACAGAAATTATTGTTCCCAGCACACGAAGCCGTTGCTTTGCGAATGTATTAAATTACGTTAACAAGTGTATTTTTAATGAGAACATTGAAGGTCAAATAAATTAATTAAATTGGCTGAAATTTTAAGACAACAACTAATGTCAGTTAATCCAGTTTCGGTGTAAACACCCTAGTATTTTTTTTCGATAACAAAGTTAATATTTGAACGTTATTAACAACGATAACAATTTTTACACACTTAACATAAGGAAGTATTATATACTAAAGTTTTTTTTTTTTTTTTTTTTTACCACCCACCCTTATTTGGAAAAAAAATACGAAACAGAGGTCGGAAGAATACGTACCAAAGTATCGGAATAGGATTAACATTTTAAGGGCGATAGTTTAAAGCTTGAGCGAAGTCACTACAGTTCTTTAGTATTTAGGCTATTGTATTTATATTCTGATATTTAAGGGATAATAAGTATTCTGTGATGATATCTGTTATTTTCTGCACGTGGGAAAGTAAAAATTAGCTGGTAAAACGCATTGGTAACATAAATATCTGGAAGAGAACATGAAAAAAATTACAAGTTTCAGGACATCCTCCACCACGCTGTGTGACGCCACGGGGTGAGGCGGAATTTACATAGCTAAGCTAATTCATCACGTTCATGTTCTTTTTATGATATCTGTGTTAACAGTACGTCTCGCGTGCTAATTTATACTTACGCATGGGCAGAAATTATCAGAAATCAACAAAGAATACGTATTATCCCTTAAAAATATCATACTATAAATACGATAAGTTAAGTGAGCAGCTATTGGTACAGTATATGAAGCCGATGCTTTTGTCATTTTAAACAGATATTACTCTAACGGTAAGGTAAATACGCTCTATGCTAGATTGTGTGAGAATTGAAGAAAACAAATTTATCTTAGAAGACTATTGTAGTTAGCTGTTTTGTTGGAGCGCGTGATGTCCTTTTTCTAAAAATATGTGAGGGATTCATACAGGTCTCCGAAGATGACCTTGGGTAAAATGAATCACCCATCCTAATCCAACGATCTTAGTGTAGGTTTGGGTATATTTGGTTAAGTTAGGTGAGGTCAAATGTGGCAAATTAGATTTAGCTGTTTCTGGTGGTCTGCTTTAAAAACGACATTATACGTTCCAACCAGCCTCAGTCTCTAGACTCAGAGAGCAGAGAGGTCTACCATCCATCTAGACTCTAGATGGATGGTAGACCTCTCTGCTGTCCCCCTTAGGGAGTCGATAGTTATAATATTTCCTGGTTCGTAGTACATGCACTATATTTTTATTCATTTCCGTTCTTCATAAATAGCAAACCGAATTATTATGCACCCTCTTGTGTACGCTGTAGTAAAAGGTCTCCTGTGTTAACCTTGGAAAACCGTACCGAGAGTTATGTTCCCTAACTAGGTCAGTGCGGTGACAAGGTAATCGATTACTGGCCTGTCCAGGTAGTCTCCAATACATCAAAGGATCGGTTACAACTCTATTTTCTAACGGTTCAATTATCCAAGGGTGCAACGTTACCTTAACCTTCGGACCAATTAATCATCGGATTAATAAATCATTGGAATATTGGGCAGCTCTCTGTTGCAAGTTAGAACCATGCATAATGACTGTGAATTGAAATGTCGAAATCTATATAATATTTTGAACAGTATACCTATATATTTAGCGATATGTTGAAATTGGCAATCTTAACAAGCAGCTTTAGCATGCCACTCTCGTTTAACTAGTTAGTGAAGTGAAATCGGGTGCTACATAGCCAAAGACTTTTATATGGTATAGACGGGAAGCACGAATTTGTCCTTGGACGGTAGTAATTTAGAGATACAGTATAATCCCATCTCACTGTCAGCGTATTATTATTATTATTATTATTATTATTATTATTATTATTATTTAAAGATAGTATTTTATGATTTCAATTTTCTTATAATCTTGGTTTGTATGAATCCACTTGAATTTTGCACTGTACAATTCAAGTGAAGTTATATAAACCCCTATTTGCAGGTCCCTGCTTGGCTCAACTATGTCAATTTTGTTGTTCAAGTTCACTTTGTATCTGTAGTTTTATGAATATTTAAACTGTTTCAATATCAATATTCACTGTCCGTATGTATGTACGTATAATACACACTTCTTTTCTGATTACTGTAACTTTGTTAGCAAGATCAAACAAAAAGTACTTGTAGTAGAGTTGCAAAATTAAGCACAAACACACACATATATATATATATATATATATATATATATATATATATATATATATATATATATATATATATATATATATATATATATATATATATATATATATATATATATATATATATATACAAGTAAATCACTGTGGGTGCGCGTGATCCAGGTATATGCTGATAACCACAAGGAAAGAAGAAAACACGAAGTTCCCAAGCACTTTCGTGTAATTAATACTGTTCATAGAATACTGTACTAATTTTTTTTTTTTTTTCTTGCAGACCGTCAAGGGGGTCCGGAGAAAAATGATCCCCATCGGTTTGTGGAAGGGATGAGCTTCAAGGGCAAACTAATTGGAGTGCTAGAGGTCTCTGAAGCACGAGGTGACCGCATGTGCCAAGAGGCATTAGCAGAACTCAAGATGGCTGTCCGGGCTGCTGGAGAACATAAACAAAGAATTGTCATTAATGTAGCCATGGACGGGATCAGATTACGGGATGAGAGATCAAGTGTAAGTAATTTTTTAGTGTGGTTACTACAAGTGGTGTGGAATTAATTTTGAAATTCCTTGTAGTTATAAGAATATTACAGTAAAGTTTGTTTATTGTATATACTTTCATAGTGTTTGGTTCATTGCTGTCCTTTAGTCGTATAAATTCATCATTATCCCAGATTCACATGGATTACAGTATCTGTAAAATTATCTTGATGTGGATTGCAGCACAAGTATTAGGTTTAACTTATAAGAGAAGTTATTCAAGTTTTTCATAAACGAAACTTGTTATACAGATACTACTGTAATTTGTAATTGAAAGTAATACTGTATTGTAATACAGTACAGGAGTTACAGCTTTTATTACAGTAGAAGAAATGGCCTTGTAAACCAAATTTTTTTGCGGTACTCTATATCTATAATCATAAATTTATGTTGTGCTAATCCTTAAGGTTTGACATTTATTGTTAGTCTTTTAGTATGAGACATATGTTGCAGTGATATACAATATGCCATCTGTGGATAAGGATAATTCATTATATTACATTACCTGTACATGTAAAGGGAATTGGGAATGTAAGGAATATTTGTGTGTGTGTGTTCTGGATGATTAGAGTAACATATATAAGTACATAACATGTTCTGTTGTACAGTAATCACATATTTATACAAACAGTTTGCTTCCCAATTACCAACTGTATACATTACTATACAGTTTAAATTTGTGGCATTTCTGAACAACTCATGTACAGTATAGTACACCACCAAACCCAGGAGTAAGGTAGCCTTGGTTAATCCCAAGACTTATCTACTCCCAGTGGCAACCATCACTTTTAAAAGGGAGATACTAGTGGGAGTCAAGGTTTCCTGAAGGCTGAAAGTCTGATTTGTTTAGCCACACAGCTCACTATGCAACTTGTACCTCAACTCTCTCTGCTACTAAGAAGTCTTGCCATACCACGTACCTACCTCAGCCACCAGCCTTACAGAAGCAACACTGTCGTCCTGTTGTCTCTGCCATTGAAAGAAGCTTTGTGCCTGTCTCATATATATTTTTTTTAAAAGGAACACCAGGCTGTTGGGCTAGGCCCAGATTTTAAAAATGTTGTTGCTATGTGAAAACATGCAATATCTCATACGATTTTGGGTACAATGTCTTAATATAAATCATACTATGTTATTTTCAAAGAGTAGTGTGATATTGTGAACCTCAAGTTGCAAGAAAAATCTACACTATCGTGCAACGCCATTGGCCAATAACCACAGGTCATACAAATCACCCTGAATCTCACAACCAATCACAGCTTGCTTCGATAATTACATAACATGTAAACAACACCTCCACTTATGAGTTGGTCAACATCACACACCACCTGAACATTGAGGCTATGGCGTTGTTTCCTGTTCACATATAAGGCTTCATCAAATATGGGTCATTTAATGGGTGTATGTATGGTCTACTCCTTAAAAGACTTACCAGGTACTTGGTGTTTATGATTACTGTCCTTGTTCTTGGCATTTTAATATCATTCACAGCCTATCTATATAACCACAGGGTTAGTAAGTGCACTTACTGACACTGGATTGACTTATGTCTGTGGAATCTCCAACCACAGACTGGAAACTTCCACTTGCATAGAATTTTTTAGCAGTGAGGAGTTGTGTGGACAGTTAAAGTCTGTAATAATGTAGCAAGTATTCATCACTGACGATGGTAAGCTGCTGCCTGCCGTACAATAGCTGGGATTGTCATACCCAAGTTGTTGTGCATGTAACTTTTTTCCTAGTACTTAGCTTGTTTGCTCTGTTACATAGATCAAAGAGGTATCATTATTCCCCAGGCACTTCATTTTCTTCAAAATACCTTTAAATTAATATAGAATACCCAACTTGAAGTAGGTTACGAGTGGTCGAGTACACTCGTAGCTCTATCTTGTAGCTCCCCCAACTTGCTATATGCGCAGACTGCTCCGAGATGCGCTACAATACTGAAATACTACCAAGTAACTCCCTTTACAAGAAATGGTAGATAGTGCAAGGTTTTTAAATTTTAGGCCCTGGTCCTTAGCAGATGGAAAAACACAGTGTACTGTACTCTGCCAACCTATTCCAAGCTGGCATGTGTTCTGATACACTTTCCCACATCAAGCAAGAGGATGAGCCCTCACGATTGGTGAAAACCATCTTATACAAACAAAATAGACTTAAATTTTTACTAAGAAAGGTGTTTCCCTCTTTCATACCTACTAACCCATAGTTTGGTTGCTAAGTTACAAAAAAACACTTGCAATGATATGGTATCCGATGTCCCTCTTCACTCGTACAAAACAGTGGCAGATGCCCACTGGGGTTTCCACCAGGTCGACCTCGACGAGGATAGCAGGCACCTCACCACCTTCATAACACCCTGGGGTCGTTATCAGTACTGCCCTACGCCCATGGGTCGTTGCTTAGCATCCGACGCCTACACTATGCGGTTCGACAATGACATCCAAGACCTGCCACGCAAGCACAAGTGTGTCAACGACACACTCCTTTATGATGCCAGCGTGGAGGAGGCCTTTTGGCACACCTACGACTTCTTGGAGTTGTGTGCCAAAATGGGCATGACCCTCAAGCTGGAAAAGTTCCAGTTCTGCCGGAAGGAGGTGGAGTTTGTGGGTTTCCACCTGGGTTGGAACACCTACATGCCCACAGATGACCGTCTCTCTGCCATCAGGAACTTTCAAATGGCGGCACAGCCTTCAATTACTGACTTGGTCTTGGCATGGATTTGTCAACCAGTTGGCACCGTTCCTGGCCACAGCACCCATTGTGGAACCTTTCAGGGACTTACTCAAGAAACCCTCCGGGAAGAAGGTTTGCTGGGATGACCAGTTGCAACAAAAGTTCCTCCAGGCCAAGGAAGTGATCTGCCAGCTTGCCAAGAATGGGCTAGCTTTTTACGACAGGACTAGGCCCACCACCGCCATCACGGACTGAATTGAATTGAATTGAAACAGTTTATTTAGCCAGAAAAGCACAGATACAGAGTGGATAATAATAACAATATTTACATGGCTGAGCCAGTTGAGAACCTGGGCTCTCTTTTAGGCATCTGATATATACTATACATTTATCTCAAGGAAGTATTATATAACATTTAGTATCATCTGGAATAGTACAATAGCATGGTGGTAATAAGAACATCTCATAATGTTACCACGGTTATCACTTCAATATTTATTTATTTTTTTTTAGCTTATTTTTTATTTATATTATAAGTATAAACATAAATTACAGTGGAATTAAAAAACATAACTATAATGGGGGAGCAGTACAACATGGGCTGTATAGTATTAAGGTTGAACAAGAGGACAGAGCCGTCAGGATTATGTCTAGTTGGCAAATATGTTTATTGCAATGGTAATTACTTATCTATTTACATGATAATTTCCAATAAAACGGTTTTGATAGTACAATAAAAGCAGGCACTGTAAATGTATAATAGGTATTACAAGAAATATTAAAACTTAGACAATAGATTTTTTTTAGAGATGATTTAAAGGAAGGGAGCGTATTCTTTGCTCGGATTGGTGGGGGTAAGTTGTTCCACACCCTCACACCGTGATATTTTATGGAGGTCTGGGACTGAGAGGAGCTCATGGGTTCCTTAAGTTGTATCTCTGATTATTCCAGAACTGGAAATAATTATTGTCAAGCAATTGATTGGTAGATTTGTAAACAAAGAGGGCACAGCAGTCAGTGTTAATATCTTCGAATTTTAATATTTTCAATTTAGCAAATTTTTCGTTTGTGTGATGTTTTTTTTTTCAAGTAGGTCATTGTCCTGTATTTTTCAAGTAGGTTATTGTCCGTACAACTCTCTTTTGTGCAGTAACCAGAGATTGTGTTTTTGGAGAGCCAGAGGCCCCCCATAGTGTGTGACAGTGTATCAGGTGTTGGTAAACAAGATCATGATAGATTTTTTTCATTGCTGTGAGAGTGAGTGACTGTCGAGTGTGATACATGATACCGCACTGTTTATTGACTTTACTGTGAATGGCTTGTATGTGGTTTCTCCAGTTAAGTTTCCCATCAACAATAACTCCGAGGAATTTAGTATTTTGTTTGTGTTTGAGGACTGTATTACCAAGGTACAGGGGGTCCAAGTCTGGGGGTAAGTTTTTCCTTCTGTGAAAGATCGTGTAGTGGGTTTTCTCAAGGTTTAAGGTCAGTTTATTACGTAATACCCAGGTCCTGATTTAGTCAATTCAGTGTTCATAGTCCTCATCAAGGAATGGAGGTCTGAGTTGCTGGCATAGAGATTACTATCGTCTGTAAATAAGTTGTATTTTATGAGTGTGCTGGCATGGACTATGTCGTTTATGTACAACAAAAACAGTACTGGACCGAGAATGGAACCCTGGGGGACGCCATACAAGATTGGCGAGGAGTCAGATTGGTGATTATTATAGTAGACATACTGCATCCTGTTGGACAGATATGAGGTAAACCAATTTTGAGACAGGCCCCTAATGCCATAATGTTCAAGCTTTGAAAGGAGGATGGTATGGTCGACAGTATCGAAGGCTTTCGAGAGGTCCAAGAATATACCGACTGTGAACTGACTGTCATCAAAGGAATTTGAGATGTCATTAGTAAAGGATAGCAGAGCACTCTCAGTCGACCTTCTAGCTCTAAATCTAAACTGGGAATCTGTAAAGATGTTATTGGCATTGCAGAAGGAATTTAGTCTACGACATGCTAGCTTCTTAAACTGGAGTAGGGATGGCATTGCATTCGTCATTCTCCAGCAGTACTGCACGTGCTCCTCTGTGATCGCACCTTTCTGCTGCAAGGGTGGATGGCGCCTCGCGCTGTGTGGGAGCCGCCACCTGATGACCGCCGAGACAGGATACGCGGCTGTGGCTTGGTGTCTCCGAAAGGCTCGGTTGTTCCTACTAGGATGCTCCAACCTAGTCCTAATAACAGACCATCGTCCCCTGGTGAAGCTCCCAGACATTGTTAATCCACGTCTCTTCCATCTGAAAGAGAAAACGCTGCAGTACAGGTTCACAGTTCGCTACTTACCTGGGAAGAAAAACTGTGCCGCCGATTTTTGTCCCAGTATCCCGCCCTTAAGTCGACCCCTGACGACATGGATGACGACCAAGATGAGGGCCTGGCAGTGGCCATGGTTGAAGCCACTGTGGCGGCTCTGGACTTCAGCGACTGTGCCACCTTAGACAAGGAGATGGTCCTCCGAGCGTTACTCGAGGATCCAGTCTACCAGCTGTTAGTGGCCAAGGTGTTGGCTGGCGACTGGCACCCCCACAGGTCGCAGGAGATTGCCTGCTTAAGGCCATTCTACAATGTCAGGGACAGGCTATCCACATCTCGTGTCCTGGTGATCTACACCTTCGACCAGGGTTGTGTATGTCTGGTCATCCCCGAGGTTCATCCGTCACCTTCATGCAGGCCACCAGGGCCTTGACTCTATGCTCAGGAGGGCCAGGCAAACTGTCTACTGGCCAGGACTGGAGGGCGATCTGCAATATCACCGGTCCTCCTGTGACGCCTGCAAAACCCACTCACTTTCCCAGCTACCTGAGCCCCTGCTCCTGACGCCACCCCCTGAATACCCCTTTCAGCAAACGGTGGTGGACATGTTCCAGCTGGAGGGACACATACAGTATACCTGGTCTTCGCCAACAGGCTGACTGGGTGGCTTGAGATCGCTCACTTCCCCAGTGGCACCTCTTTCAGTAAGATTATGGCTCAGCTTAGACGCTACTTCACCAGGTGGGGTGCACCCGAGCAGATATCCACAGACGGTGACACTATCATGGTCAGCGAGGAAATGATGGAATTCTTCCGGAAGTGGAGCATCTCTGTCCGTCTGTCTTCCGCGCAATACCCCCAGTCCAATGGCAGAGCAGAAGCCGTGATATATACTGCAAACAGGGTGCTCCGTAACAACACCGGGACTAATGGGAGCCTCAATGTCAACAAGGTATCTCTCGCCCTTCTCCAGTATCTCAACACTCCCTTGCGTGGTGTGGACGAGTCTCCGGCCCAGCTGGCAACAGGTCGCCAGCTCTGTGATGGTGTCCCTACGGCCAAAGAGAATTTAAAAATCGACAGACATTGAAGACAGACACTCCGCATACGAGAACTCCAGATGGCTCAAGACCACGAGGAAGTCCTTTGACAGCGTGGGGGTGTTATCCGCCATCACTGCCCCTTGGTGCCTGGCAGCCGTGTCAGGGTTCAGAATCAGGTCACTAAAGCCTGGGACAGGTCAGGCACTGTCTTAGAGGCCCTCCAGAACCTTCAAAATGCCGTGCGGCTAGATAGTTGCGACTGCATTTCGCTCAGGACCCGTGGCCACCTGAGGGACATGGCCCACCCTCACACGCCCACCCCGTCAGGTACTGCGGGTTCACCATCGTCACCTGTACCACCACCTCCACAGCAGCACAAGCCAGCCCGTCCCCGTCAGACATATAACAAAGCCTCAATGGCTTTCGGACTTTGTTTAGTGTAATGTTCCCTGTTCATGTATGCCGCTGTGGTGTGCGCTGTCATGGCATTTCCTTTCATACTTTTTCTTTCTTTTTTTTTATTAGGTTTAGGCATTTCCTATTGTTTATGTCATTTTCGTTTGTTTTTAGTCAGATCGTCCAAGTGCCTTTATTTTTTTTGTCCTCATCCAATCTTGGAAGGGAGTTGTAAGATGTAGACATTATTGTTATGTTGGCGCTACTTGGGAGCCCCTGGTAGTGGAGAGTCTGCGGCGTCAGTTGCCGCCTGTCAGGCTTGTAGCTCGGATCTCTACATTAAAGTTCTCGACCGCTATACGGTGTTTTTCCTTTCCTTCAAGAAAACAGCTAACAGAAAGTAAATAAATGCAGTGTTACAACTTTGTAATGTTTTGGAGGACCATATGAGTTAAGTGCTCAAATAAATTTGCCCCCTAAAAATGCATGATATGAAAGGACAGAATTCAAAACAACCAGGGCTATATTCATAATGATAAAAAAGATACATTCCTGTACTTCAGTCATTGAAATTACATGTGATATTGGAATTTATAGTAGACATCCTTATAAACTAGAAAATGATCCTGCTGTTGCAAAATTAATACAAAATAAATAAAGTATGGACAGTTTTCAGATACTGTACTGTAATTGTTTTGTTTTTCTTCTATTCTCCATGTAATCCTTGATCTTGTACATGACCAAAATTTCAATGTTGAGTTGCCTGACACTCCATTACCACAGAAGTTTTAAGAATATGGTAAAATGATATTCTAATGCTGAACTTGTTCCTCAGGACTGCCTGTACCACCATCCAGTGCACAAAATCTCCTTCATCGCCCAGGATATGACAGACACTCGGGCTTTTGGCTATATTTTTGGCTCTCCTGATGCTGGCCACAAGTTCTTTGGCATTAAGACAGAGAAAGCAGCGAGCCAAGTGGTTATAGCCATGCGCGATTTGTTCCAGGTAAGAACTGTAGATAATACTGTAGTATTTCAATTTTGCACATGAAGCTAATGCTTTACAGTTTTCATTTTAGCTCTCATTTGATATCTCACATATGAACCTACTGTTGCATAGAACATTTGTAATGCTCAATATACATTAACTGTATAGAATTTAATGGACAATTATTTGCTACAAGCAGGATGCCTGCATCCTACCCAACTAGTTGAGCATAGATTTAGAAGTTGTCCTGATATCCAATATGGAGTGATCAGACTCAGATTAACTTACCGCATACATAACTTTAGTTTGCAGAAAGTGGAAAGCCCTGTATAGTATATAAATACACTTTACCTTCTTTACAATTTTTTTTATGTTTCACTTGCTTTGGTAGATAAAACTTGGGAAATCACAATCAAGAATTTTGCCATAGTGATTACTGTACCATGGATCACTCAACTAATATTGAATTATTGGTAATGAAGCTAAATATAGTTTTCCCACTAAATCAGAGCAACAACCCGCTATAAAGCCCTGCAACTAGTATTTTGGATCATCATCATCATCACAGTTGTATGGCCACTTTCCATACTTGTGTGGATTAGCCATGGTCCGTGATTGCCTAATGTCATGGTATTCCTGCTGTCGTTAGGAAAATTTGAAGCAGGTATTACAGTTAAAAGAAGACCTTCCTATCACCAACATATTTTATCAGCATGGGAACTGAATACATTCAGTAAACACTGAATTACTTGCACTTATTATTCTCAAAAAGGTTGATCACACTAGGCATCACTACTGCTAATTTGATTACTAGTCTAGAACCACTGAAGAAAAGTTTCCTGTGTAGTCAGTTGGTAATAAAACCCAAGAGAGAGAGAGTTTATTTTTTCCCACACAGTAATTATTAATTTGCCAATTAGATAAAACTTACACTTACGTATTACTCTAAACCTAGTGTTTGTGAATATTTGGTTAATTTTCAAAAGCAGATCCCCCCCCCCTCAAAAAAAGATGCTGATGTCAGAGATCAAAGTGTACAATAATTTAGGCATCTCTCGCTATACGAACGTTCGATACGAAAATTCGCTTATATGAATTTCCTAAAATACCACCTCTTTTTCGTGTTGCAAATGCTTCCCCGCTTATACAAATTTGGGTCCTGGCAAAAATTCAAATCACACGCCCCCAGGACTTGGCGGGGGCGGGGGCGGCCACACCCCCCTAGCGCTCTCCATACCAGGCTGAGGTAGGAGTTATTTGATGTTTATTTTTCAACTCATAATTTCAGGTAAATAAACATAATTTTCTTCATATTTTCTTTTATTCAATTACATGCACACACAATCCTACATACAGAATGTACAAAAATAAAAACAAAAATACATTTATTATTATAGGTAAAAAACATAAAGGGAATAAACATTTCTTCATGCACCAGCGAGAGTTCGCAAGATGAGCTGGGGGGAAATATGTTCTGGTTATTTTTCACCTCGTAATTTGGGATAGATAAACTTACCTTTCTTCACTTTTTTTTTTCTACGTACTCAATTACATGTAAACACAGTCCTACATACACTTGTCAACCATCAGTGAGACAAGACGTGCCTTGAAGACGCTCCGGGTTTTGGCAGCCAGGCCGAGTCTGTTTGCCCCCCCCCCCTCCCCCGTTATATCCTAATGCCCTACCAGCCTTACTACACCAGGATTTATTCAGCAAAACATTCAAGTGATCAGTGCAATGATTGATTACCAAACAGTGTTCTGATAATGCATCCCAAGGAAAAGCAAAAAAACACAGCAGTGTAATACCAGATAGTGGGCACTTTGTCGGTCACCTTCAAAGTGCTAGTGACAAGGACCACCGCGGTGTTTACATATATCATGGATACTGTGCCGGCGACCGTAGGCGCCAGAGACAAGGACTCAAGGAGTTTACGATTGACAAATATTAACAGATGTTTACCGGTGTCAGTGGCCCTCAAAGTGCGGCCAGTGAGTTTATGGCCACCAGGGACAAACACTTCCGTCCGTCCACAACAACAGATATCAGCAGATGGCCACCAATTACTTACTCCAAACGCTCTCTGTACCTTCTAAAGCGTGGGAACCGTTATCCTGATGGCAGTGTTATCGTGCTACTCAAGTCACTGAACATATTCCATGCGCGCAGCCGTAGACAGGGGCGTCATAAACAAAAGCCCATTAGGACAATAACCTCCACTAGGAAACCAAAGAAACCCACCCCTGACAGACCGTACCATTACACTGAATTTCCACGGATATGGAATGATCTCCCGTCTTTACTTCCCTAGCTAACAAGTTTGGTGAGCTGGCAACCACAGTCAGGTCAGTCGCTCCGAGCGTAGTTGCCATTTGTGAGGCTTGGCAAATTGTGCCTGAAACGTGTCATATTGAGGGATATCAACTCTTTCATCACCTTCGTTCACATGGATGCGGAGGGGGCGTTGCCCTCTTCTGTCAAGATGACCTACGTCCGTCACGCCTGGATGTTCAAGTCCCAGTAGATGTGGAGGCATTATGGGTACGTGTTGTGCCACGGGCCCACCCGTGCCACACTCCTTCCATCATAATCTGCGTGTCATACCATCCGCCTCGCTCACCCACCAGAGACACTCTTATCAATCATCTCATTACCACCTCAGACCTCCTCAGAGTTAGGTACCCTTGTGCCAAATTAGTGTTAGGCGGGGATTACAATGAAATTGACACCACTGATATCCAGGACCAGCTGTCACTATCACAAGTTGTGAACTTCCCCACACACGGTCAAAATACTCTTGACCTTATCTTGACCTCCTTAGCGAATCAGTACCAACCACCTCAACCAATGCCTCCTATCGGGTGTAGCACACACCTATCAGTGCTCTGGTCCCCAGCTGCCACTCCCACTCAAGTACAGAGACCCTACATCAAGACCTACAGGCCGATTACTGACTCTGCAGTGCGTCTCTTCGGGCAGTGGATTGTTCACCATCCCTGGACTAAAGTACTTAGTGTGGATGACGTGCACACCAAATGGATAAATTATGCCAACACCACCACCACCACTTCTTCCCCGAGAAGTCTGTCAGATCTCACCCAGCTGATGTGTCCTGGATCACACCTCGGATCAAAAGACTTATGCAACAGAGAGACAGAGCCTTTTATCTCAATGACCACAACCGCTACAGGTCCCTTCGCAATCGAGTCATCTGCGAAATACACACTGCAAAGAAGTCACTACCCAACCAAATTGCAACACCTGAAGCAGACCAACATCAGTCAGTGGTATGGTAAGTTTAAAGAACTCTGTGGACTAAACAATAAGACACACCCCCCTCCCCTTCCTTAGGCATCTCACTAATGTTGACTCAGCTGAGCAATCAAATAACCATTTCGCTACTATATGCCAGACACAACCAATCTCCCTCCTTACCTACCAGCCCCCTTTCCCACTGAACCGGTCGAAGAATTTGAAATAGCAAAACGTCTGGACAAACTGAAGTTAAAACGCTCCACCACCCCCATTGACTTCCCAATGAAACTCTTCAAGGAGTTTTCCCCAGAGCTTGCTAAACCCCTCTGCTCCATCATCAATGCTTCCCTCAGTCAAGCCAGGTGCCCAGCTGACTGGAAGACTTCATATGTGTCACCAGTGCCCAAGTTAATCAGCCCACAATCCTTAAATTAGCTACGACCCACTGCAATCACCCCAATACCCAGCTTAATCTGTGAATGTTTTGTTTGACTGGGTCTATGCTGATATTGCAGGTGCCGTAGATCCCCAGCAATTTGATAATATGAAAACTTCCTCCACCACTCACTGTCTTGTCAGCTTTCTCGACTACATATACCGCCATCTGGAGAAACAAAAAAGTCTGTTGCTGTCGCCTTCATTGACTTCACCAAGGCATTCGACCTAGTCGACCACAATTTAATCATCAACAAAGCAATCAACCTCGGGTTTCGAAGAAGTCTTATACCATGGCTTACAGACTTCCTCAGTAACCAACGCCAAGCTGTACGCTTCCGAGGGGCTGTCTCCACCTTTCAGTCACTCACCTGTGGCGTCTCCCAAGGCACCAAGATGGGACCACTATGCTTCCATGTGCTTATCAATGATGCCCTAAGAGAAACCCCTGCTCGCTGGAAATATGTCGACGACTCCACCATTGGGATCAGTGTCAACAATTCTGCTCCCGACTATACCGCCCTTCAGGATTTATTGAACCGTCTTCAAAACTGGGCCACCAACAACCACATCACCATCAACCATACCAAGACCATGGTTATGCACATCAACCTCTCCTCCGACGTTGTCCCACCCCTTCCAATACTTCAGGTCCCAACACACTTCAGGTATTAGATTCCACTAAGCTCCTCGGCGTCACCATAGACAACAAACTAAATTGGAAACCGCACGTCAGTGAAGTTGTCAAATCCTCCAGTTTCCGTCTCCACCTCCTCCACTGACTCAAGTCCCTCGGAGTTCCTGCCCCCAAGCTCCTCAGTGTTTACTCAACATTCGTACTTCCCAAGCTCACCTATGCCTCCCCTACCTGGTCTTTCTCCCTAAATGCCGCACAACGTAAACACCTAGAAAAAGTGCAAATGAGGGCATGCAAGATTTTTCTCTCCCCTTCCTACTTCACATATCAAGAAGCGCTCAACACACTGACCCTCTCGGCTCTCACTGACCATTACCACGACCTCATCTGCAAATTTGGTGAGAAGCTTCTGCACCATCCTCAACACCGGCTCCTACCACCACCCATTCGAGCACGAATTGATCGCTATAAGAACAGCCCAGTCCCAACCATTGTAAAAATTATCAATAACTTGTAATCAACCAGTGTATTCACTCCCAGTCAATCTTACTTTTTGCACTGTCACTGTGTTGAAATGCCCTGTAGTTTGAGCTTCTCCCCACCTAGTAATATATCATATTTGTATCACTTATGTTACTTGTATATTATCCTTCCCGCTGCCATGCTCTTTCAATAAACCGTTAATTATTT